GAACGTATGTCAGTCAAAGCGCACTCAACCGCTGTTCTGACATTGTCATTTTCAATCAATTGCTCCAACGATCAAGGCGGATCCATGCTTAGAACCATAAAGTAGTTTCAGTACAGCCGAAGTCTGCCGCACTCACTTGTTGATTGGGTGACGAACAGCTGCCTCAATCATCAATTCTTCGAACCATGTCCATGTTTTCCTGCCAATTTCGCCGATCTGCTTGATATTCAAATCTAGAACCTCGATTATTTTTATATATTCTAGTCCTTGAAAATACTGCACTTGACCTTCTCCTAATATTGATTGGGAGGCTATAAGTATGCTTCTGCATGAGAGGCACTTACATGTTCATTCTTAGTTGAAAGGGTAATTCAAACGCAAACACTCGCCCACATAGTACCCCTCGGGTACGGTACCCCGGGTCCAAGAGCAAGATCTGGGCGAGAGGTTAGGATTGATTTCTCGGTAGGGTTTATGAGGTGCCGCGTGGACATGGTTTTTGAAGATACCTACGGGTGTGAGGGTCCACATAAAAAACTTCAATAGTGATTTACTGAGCACATCTGTGGGGATGCAAAAACCAAATTTCGCTTATTTTTTGGAGCTTTTTACTAGTCCTCAACTAAACTATTACATGGTGTTTAGTCCAATAGAAGCCTCACAAAAACCGTATGCCAAGATATGTCAAGATGAACGATAGCTGCAAATAAGCATACTGTAGCCCTACTGTTGCCAATATGCCGGGTATATAGTCGCTCTTTGGAGCAATATGTTCTTCTCTGAATCGAAAATGGTGCCAAAAATCGAATAGGGCCCACTAAGCTTGTGTTCTCTTCAAAAATTTTCTACTTATCACAGCGTGAATATAAAATTTGGAAAAAATTTCACCTACGCGAGGCATACGGCTGGCACTCTGGCATGCAAACTATCTTCATGTTAGCTGCCCCCAAGCCGTATCTATGAAGGTGCATGATTTGAGTCCTCACTGGAGAAGGATTCGGGTTTTTGAAATTGATCTGATGCATCAATATTTGCTTTTTACCTTCGCTATGTACTCATCCTTGAGCAACAACAAAAAGATGAAAATTCATACCATGCAAAAGTTCGCTGAGCAGTTAGCTGGGCTGTCATGCAAGACATACTAAGCAACTTTGTCTTATATTGAATTTCGATTGTCAATTGTCATTTGCTTGCCATTTACCTAACAATTTCAAATCTGAGTACTTCGCCACGTTACGTATAAGTTTTCGATATTTTTTCGCGCAACAAAAAGTTTTCTTCAGACTCTTACTCTTTGCCTTGGCATAACATTCTACCTTTACTGATTTTTATTATTTCATCGTCGTCGATACTCAATATATTAGATGGTCCTAAAGTTCTTGCCTTTCTCCAGGCTTATCGTGAACTCGTTTAGATACGCAAATTATAGGCAAATGCTATAAACTATTTTGGACGCATATTTTTCCTTTTTTAACAGTTAGGCTGGTTGTTATCACGAGGTTGACATTGAACTAATGATTATCAGGACTTCTACCCTTACTTTTTACCTACTCTTGCAATTTAGTTTTCTGAAAGAGCTTGGATAAGCTTTAGATAGAGTATAAAAATCGCAATAAGCGCATTTTTTGGCACCTATAGGGGGCTTTTCAAAATAGTTTTTTGATGCTATCAAGTTTTGTAACCGGTCATTCCAAGCAGCTAGCTACCACAATGTCATTCGATGCATCTTCTTCTCCTCTTTCTGATGTGGGTTTCTTCTTTCCGTTTCGTAAAGGCTCGGGGGATGAATTCACCATAACACTTGATTTTGAACGCGTCTCAGGCTATACATGCAAAGTTCTCAATATGTTGTTTCGAAGCGGTACTTCAGCTGATTTTGAAAATTTCAGATTTCAGAGATTCAATAGTGTTTGAAGCGCTTACGTATTTCATGACTTTGCAAGGTGAAGAGTTTCACAAAAAAAACTTTTAGAAAAGTAATGAAAATTCGGGCGGAGACGCTGAAATAATTTATTGTATTGTTGTTCAATCTATCCAAGCGTTATCAAAGCTCTTATGAAAACCTAAAACAAAATCTTGAAAAATAGGCAAAGCCGGTAGGTTAGAAATATGAGTTGTGGAGGTTCTGGCGAATTCGGGCGACCATTGAAGGACTCGAAACAAAAACATAATGCTGGAAAAAAGGAAGATTCTCTGAAATGAGCACTAGTCAAATCTTTTGCTCATCATTATTGCAAACGTTTGAGGACGCCTGAAAAACGGCACGAACTTCCGGGCCGACCCAATAATTATGAGCATTGCCTATAAATTTCACTACTTTCATTGGTGGAAAAATTTTTTTTACCGCTTTCAACAAATTTTGTTATTTTTACTAAAGTACGTATATTTTACAATGCTTGTTATTATTGTTACAATCAGTATTCGTTATCCTGAACACGATTGATATCTATTACTATTGTTGTTGTCGTTATCATCAACGCTATTATTTTAGTATTGAATCTATTTTTATTTTGACTTTTGTGCGCACGTCCCTGAATTCACTACTTCTGGCTATCGCGGCAATCTCAATGTGATTTTTGAATTGAGGTTTTGCTTCATAGAAGCATTTGGCGTATATATTCTAGGACAGGAGCAACAAAAACCGAAGAAGCGGTTACTCTATCCTGATTTTTCTAGTTCTAGTCGACAGGAAATGTTGTTGTGGTGAATGCGAAAACGTTACTAATGTAAAATTATGACCTGCTCTTCCTATGAAATTTAGCATGTCGAATGTCAAGGTCATTTTCAAAGAAAACCTATTTGGTCGTAGTTGAAAAACATAGGTCCTTCTAGAGGAATTCGAGGCGGAGGTTCCTCAAGAAAAACTTTGCATAAAACTGCGAAAACCTACGATTGCGCTCTTAAAGGCAGTGTCCGGGCAAAAACTCGATATTGAGATTTTGTGCTTACCCGGGCCTATTCGCTATGCTGAATCCGAAAATCCACATTGGAGAGCGCGAAAACAACGAAAAAGGGCTCTAATATTGGAGGAAAATCAGCAAGTGGGCAGGGTCTTCCCCACTGTGAATTCACGCTTCCAGCTTCGGGGGCGATCTTTTTGATTCCGGTTTCGAGTCATTCGTTTGCACTTAATCGGTAGTGATGTCAGGGCGGCTAACGGATTCGAGAAAATTGCTCTGGAAGCTGGAAGCGTGAATTCACAGTGGGGGAAGACCCCGCCCACCTGCTACTTTCCGCCTGCGTTAAAGCCCTTTTTCGCCGTTTCCGCGCTCTTCAGTGTGGATTTTCGGATTCAGCATAGTGAATAGGCCGGGTAAGCACAAAATCTCAAAATCGAGTTCTTGCCCGGACACTGCCTTTAACCTTGGAAAAAAAACGGATTGCGACAAATTTTTCGGTCGCGATATATTTATCGTCGCCAAACCGTTGGAATGATGTAGCTTTTCCTAGAGTAGTTTTCGGAAAAAACTAAACATTGTATTTCCGAAATCTAGCGGTTCAGAATATTTGTCAAAATATCGAAAATGTTTTTGTTTGAGCTGATTGTCTCGAGATTGTCGCAACAAAACCGTCGCAGTGCGCTAAGTTCTTTGAGCATCAATTTACGAAAACATTTTCGGATTCATGGCAAATTCTCACTTGGATAATGCGAAAATGATGGTGTCAGGTGCCGAATTTTCAGAGTTTGACCAATGGACTCCATAAAAACCAAAAAGGTGATGATTTTCTTCCGCCTCTTCTGTCTTGATGACTGTTCACACCATACAACTGCTTCGAAATCAATTATTCCACAGGAAGTCTCAAAATTTTGGACGTTCTCGTCATAACTATTGGTATTACTGTTTCATTTACCAATGCTCACTTTCATCGTAATCATCATCTCAAATTATACATTGTATAGTTGCATTTTCATACATGGTACCTTTTTTCACTTCAAACACTATCACATGCTGAGCACATTTTAGTATTACTGAATTAATTGATGAAAATCTTGTACCAAGTTTATTGAAAATTTTCTCCCCTGAATTATGCAAAATTGTCTGATTTGAAGGAAATCAGAAAAAAATTTTGCTGTTCGTGGAGTGTTTCAAAATCTTGTTGGCACATCGCAGCAATACAAGGTGGTCAGAGGAGCAGTCCAACTAGCTTTCGAATCATAGTAGTTAAGATTTTTAAAAGTTTACTGGAATTCAAATTTATCTCTGATGGTTCCGTGAGCTCCACTTTCCAAATACGGAAACTTTTCTTTGATCGGATGCCTCTACGAGTATTTATGAATATCAAAGTGTCACAAATGCTTTTTAATTCAAATAGAAATATATCTGATATAAATAGTAGAACAACCAATACGTTATAAGAAGTATGGCTATGATTTCGAAAGTTTCGAACATTTCTAGAAATTTACAAATTTTTTTCACAAGATTTTCATTAATATGATACACTGGTTACGATTTCGTGTCATAATCGAACGTATTCTAATTTTTGAACGTTTTCATAAATTTTTCGAAGCGTTGCATATTTCTACGCGAAATGCAACCCAATATAAGTCAGTCATTTGGAAGAGTTTCCTCACATGATTGCTTTCAGTGAGCCACAAATACCTAATTTATTCGAACTCACTGAAAAATGAGCTTATTTCAGTTGAGTTGAATGATGATTCCTATAGATTCAAGCTCACAATATTTTTGCATTACGCAAAAAGTCAAATAACTTTCGCCATGGTTTTCTTTCCAAGTAAAACTTCTTGGGTCCTTTCGCGTCTTGGTTTTTTAGTTTTTCTTTTTTGTGCATCGTGATACATATCTGGCCCTCTCTAATATTTTCAATTCTTGCTTCGTTCTTGTTCATTCCTGTGTACTACATTATTTCTTGTCTCTGTCATTTGAGCAGTGTCATGGCCAATTCCTAGAATCCTTCTTCATTCAAGCAATGTTTTTATGACATGAATGTGAGCCAGCTGCTGGCTCTCAATCATTCTCTCCCTTTCACGCGAAAAAATTGCTCGTTTTTCCGAACGGCGAACTAATGCGAAGGCGCATTGACGATGCCGCCGAAAGATGAAGCGAAGAAAAAGTTGACACGCGAGGAACAACTTCGTAGCAAGTCAGCTGACAGCCACTGGAATGCCGTCGGCAAAGGCCTCACCAACGCTGTCTCGAAAAGTCTTCCACAAATGAATAAAAAGGTGAAGCGAATTTATTATATATTTCCTGAGTATAGAATAGCAAAATTTTCGTTCGTCGAAGAGGGGGGGGGAAGAATTTTTCCTAAATGAATAGGTGTGCGTTACCTACGCCCGGAAAAAATGGAGACGCGGCCCTTTACCCGTAATTGTAGAAGAGAAGACGGCAGCTACCTCCGTACGAAGTCTATTGTATTTATTTCTCGAAAATTATTTCAGTTAATTATAAGTAAAATTAAGTTGCTCGCACAACTTTAATATACATGTAAGCTACACTGAATTTTTCGCGATTCATTTTTTGGGTGGCAGGTGGGCGGGATCAGCACATTGACGAACTCAAGGTTAAACTTTGAAACAACGTAGAGACGTGCTAAGGGGTTCATTTGACCAAAAAGGTTTGAAAATTAAAGCAGAGGAGTTCTGATCTTTTGCATGGTTTGAACGCTATATCACCAAGATTTTCTCCCAATAATTTTTTTCACAATTTTCTTGGCGCTGTATTAGTGTAGTGTCCTCTTTCGCCTGCGACATTTGCATTAATAAATAGGTGTGGTGCGCAAAATTTGAAAATAAGCTCGCTTTGGCCATTTTTACTCCTTTTCACTCCATTTTCACTCGTTTTTCGCAGAGTGGCCCTATAACAAATGTGATTTATTGAATCTACAAAAGAGCTTTACTATTTGATCGATAGCAACTGTTTTATAAATCAAAAATGACCGATTGTTTGTGGCAACGCAAGCGCATGTCCCCGCACTAAACCAGAGTCTCAGCTTTTGAAAGTAGTTCTCTATGAATGTTGTGCAAAGATGAATGGCTATTTATGTTGGTGCAGACGCGATGAATGCACTTCGAAGCTATCTCATTACGTTGCACACTTTTCAGCTAGTATCTCTTTCAAAGCAAGGTTTTCAAGGTTTCCCTATGCACAATGATTCCCTCTGGAAAAGCAGTTATTGACTTTACGCAGCTTCCTTTGAGAGGTGGATTAGTCTTAAAAAGCATGAGCAGCAAATACAATAGAATCAAACCATAGTTTTCAACTTTCCAACTCTGTTTAATCGCAGTGTTTTGTAACCATTACTGATTTAATCTAAATAGATGTCTCAGAGAATAAGGTTTTTGTTTATTTTTTGTGGGATTTTTGTCCTGCTGCTTGTCATGTTTGTGGTTCTACCGCCGTCAGTGTCTTCACGGCAAATCCTAAAAGGGTGTAATCACACAAAGCGGCTAGTCAGGAGACCTACAGGTCTTATCAACAGCAGTGTCGGGAGCACCGCTCCCGCGCCGCAGCTTAGCCTGGACTCTGCACCTCATTCGCGAACGCGCTCTCTGATCACTGTCCCACCGCGAGCGTGGGAAAAGCGGAGCCTCATTTGATTTGGATATGATTAGGAAACATGTTCGTGGAAGAGGTGCAGAGTCCCGCGCCGGAGTTGAGATGTTGATGATACCCGACACTGCAATTGATAAGCCCTGTACATGTCGCGCTAGTCGAAAATTCATTTAAAAGTAAGGTGCCAGGTACGTCCAAAACGTAAGAGTCAGTCATTTTCGAGGAGCACAAACTTTCAATGCTCCTCGAAAATGATGAACAGATATGGTTTGGGCAGACAAAATCAAGAATTTGAAAAATTAGCAATTATAACTGAAAAACGGGGGTTCCATTGTTTCTGCACTCTTAACATCTAAAAATAGAGTCGAGAGGCGCTTTTATTAGGTTGGTGCAAAAGTAATGCGCGTTTTTCTAGCCCTTCTTTCAGAACAACTTTTCTATCAAATTTGCTCCTTTGAAAGAAGCTTAGCATACTATCAAGAAGCTCCTTTAAGCTTCTAGCCTCATTCATTGAAAATTTATAGAGCTTCATACAACTGCACTCAAAACCAGAATTTCATTGCACTTACTTTTTCGGCCAGAATTCAAGCGCGAGTAAAGGCATTCTTTTGAAAATTTAACTACTGTATGTAGTGGAAATTTTCTACGCTATGCACGCTTTACTGTTTTCCTAAAAATTACTTAGGCTGAAATCTCGGCGCCTCAACATGAGTAATGGTTTTAGCCATTCCGCGGCCCATAGCTTTCCTTTGAAGAGAGCAATCGCCAAAGTTTTGCTCATTTCTGAAAGCGTAAGGGTGGGCCTCCTGTTGACAGTTTTTGCAGAAATGTGGAAGCTGTTCAGAACACAAAAAATCAAAAATCTCCATATTTTGGGATTTTGAGGGCTACGAAAAAATGTCGAAAAAAGTGGACAATTTTGAATATTATTTTTTTCCTTTTCGCAACTAATCTTTATTTGAGCCCTTTTGTACTTTTTTTGTACTACTGGCTTGCGGCTACAAGACAGTCAACTTGTCATTTATACCGACAAGTCTTGAAGGAAGTTATGATCAGTTGAATACGAGGTTTGGATTGATAAGCAAAAAAAAATTTTTTTTTGCTTATCAATCCATATTTTTGCACCGATTTAAGATGTTAACATAGGTTAATGTGCGCTGTATAGAGAGAGGTTTGGTGCCTCTGATGAACTTTGCCGCACTGAAAAATATGGATTTTTTAGAAGGTTATAGCACGTCAAAGTGAGAACTCGCAAAACGCGCATTACTTTTGCACCAACCTAATATTAGCGAACGCGGGAGACATAGTACAAGCTCTTGTTCTGAAATTTTATTGTGTTATCCCCAGACAACCTTCTATTTTTCTGCTCTCCGATTAAACCCGAGTAGGCTTAGAAAAATTATCAAATGTTTGCAAGTTTTTCCAGAGTTTTTTTTTGTTTGCCAAAATTCGACAGCCGTTTGTGTGCGGTAGGCGATGAGTACATCAAATGAATGAAAAAAATTGTTGTGGTAAAATCATATTTTGTCTCCATAATCCCACAAACATGCTTCTAGGAAGTCAATGGGTCAACTGGGAAAGGAACAACTATTGTTACAGAGAAGAAAAAACGTCGAAGAAAGAAGAAGCCAGAGGAGGTAGGCATTTACGAAATTCAAACAATAGAAGGTTATAACTTTTGAGGAGCAATTTGTGCCACCAGAGCCTCCAAAACCAAAAATCGTCATAACAAAGGAGGATAAGAGAAATAAAACACTATGGAGACATATCATGTGGCTTATCGTTTTGTTCGCATATTCGCTACTAGGAGGACTAATTTTTAGTGCCATTGAAGGTTGGTACTCTGTAATCTATAGTTCACTTGTTTCTTTGAACAATTTGTTTGACAGGAGGTAATGACCGATCTATCTTGGTGATGGAGTACGAAAGGAATATGGACCTTTTCAAAAGACGCCGTTCTTATCAGGAACAACTATTCAAGAGGTACATTACGATTACGTTGACCATCAAATTTTGTGCTTTTTACATCATGTAAAGTATAGGTTTGATAAAAGCAAAAATTATTTGCAAGAAGGTGTCGCTCAGATCTTTCTCTTTTTTTTTCAAACGAGATCAAAAACCACAGAATAAATTCAATACAGCTTGTCTTGCTCATTCTAGGAATCACATTTCCTCGTTGATCTCTTTGATCCGCATGTAAATGATCCCATTCTTCTCATTTTACTCGTACTTATTGGACTTTTTTGTTTTATACGGTCATTGTCAAACGGGCGAACTAAAGCAACCCTTGAGAAGTTTCAATCAGGGCTCAGCACAGATGGCTTACCGGGCAGGCTGGATATCGTTTTGGAGTAGGAAGCAAAGGGGATATCGTTTTTGCGGGGTCCTTGGCTGAGCACACAACTGCTTCCCCCCCCCCCCCCTTTCCCTTCTAATCCACCTACCCATCTTCTGGAGACGTCACAAGTGCTCAGCACTGTCTGTAGAACTCCATTCTTTGCAAAACCAACAATTTCCCGCTCCAATATGCTATCCGTGAAAAGTACGGGAATTCAAAAGTACGCCCCGAGGTAGACAAAAGCCATGTTTACAGCGGAGAAGAAATGATATGACACCAAAACTGGTGTGTAGATGGGCAATGGGGAGGTGGAACTATATGTAAAAAATTATGAAAAACTTATGTGAACTAAAGTAGTGGCAAACTTTTTTAGGAGTTAGGCGGCTTTACAGCCACCTGGACAGCCACCTGAGGTGACTGTAAAAAGATAAATCATAAATTTCACTCCATTTACATAATTTTTCCAAATTTTCTACATAGTTTTGTTCTAAATTCAAATCTCTACAAACCAGTTTTTGAAGCTCCTCAAACGCTCTACTCCTCGCCTAGTCACAGCCCTCGAAAAATTTTGTGTAGCGGCGGCAATGCTGCTCCAGGCACGCGATAGTGCGCGATGGACAAAGTATGCCGCCAATTCGATGAATACGAAAGCTGTTACTTGTTCTTACCGTCAATTTCGTGTTCTTTCGTTTTCCACTTGTATTCTTCTTTGCTCGTTTTGTTTGTTTCAAACATTAGTGGTCATAGGGGATGTCGTATGTTAGCTGCAAAGTCAGTGGGGACTTCGTTTTCGGAAGAATGAAAAAGCCACCTCGTGCTGAACCCTGGTTTCATTTTCATCAGATTTTATGTATTTAATTTAATCCACAGCCTGTAGTAGTACAAAAATATATAAGCACACTATTTCGAGCTTCCAAAATTCAAAGTGAACAACGTTTGTTGTTGATCTTCAGCCCGGTTACACTCATGGATTGCCCTATTTCAAAAACCTTTGCTGGAAGTATCCAGTAAACATAAGAAACCAAATAGTTGGAGGGGTTCTGAGATGGCATTAGTAAGTGTAGGACTGGTCGTTGTTAAGTCCCTGTGGAAGACAAAAAGCTGAGGGATCGAGTTAACAATGTGGGGTCAGGAATCATGACACTCTTTTATAATATTGAAAAGACTGAAGCGAGATAAAAGCATCAAGGTGGAGGACAAACGAGTGCAATTAGGGACCATGCTCTGTCTTTTAGTGCTATTCAAAGTATCAAATTAGAAAAAAAATTATAGCTAGAATCATGCTATTTGCGTTGAGCAAAAAAGACAAAACATTCTTTTCTTCTTTTCTTTGATCTAATATGGTTGTTTTCACCTTATCTTGATACTTTTGTTTCAAATAATGGAGAATCAAACTCCCCGAACTATAATTTCGAAAAATTGACCTTTCACTACGGTTTCGATTTTATTCCTGATGGCACGCCTAGATGTGTTGAGTAATAAATGAATATTAGATTTACAGAATTTAATATTTACACAAAGTACATGAAGCACTAGCTGTAATTCTAGCCCAGTGTATTTGCACTGAAATTAGGTCACACTAAAAATAATTCTACTCTTAGATTCCGAGACATAGACTCGGACAATTCCATTGCCGTCAACCGCACAGGAGTCAGCATCGATAAGTACAAACTGGAGTTGGCACGGCACGCTCTGGCATGGTAATTTCTCATCAGCCCATATTAGGACTCCTTGTAAACTACAGATATTGAAGGTACGAACGTAAATTGGGTGTCGTGGTGGAGGAGCCAACCATGGTGGATACCAAGTGGACCTTATGGGGAGGGGTCTACTACGCTGCAAGTCTTTATACTACAATAGGTAAGAGTTTAGAGACATAACTGTGTAATTTTGGTTTAATCTGCATTTTTTTGCCGTAGGGATAATAGTTGTTGTATGACAATTATTTGATGCATATTTTGAATGGAGTTTTGCCTCAAAAAATAACGATCAAAACAAGCTAGATCTCCCCTGGCGCAGCTTTTTGTTGATTCCTTTTCTTTTTTGTTTAGTAGCAATTTTCTTGGCTAATTTTTTTTGATTCGTCACAGCTTGGTCATTCATCTTCTCTCAGCCAGTTAACGTGTGAAACATAGGTTGTACCTCAGCAAAAAAAATTGAGTGATAAAACTATCAAAGCTAACTTCAGCTTCCCACATTTCCGTATTACACCAGTAAAACTCCAATGAAATTATTATTTTGAACTACGGCTTTGGTTAGTTCGCCTACCATATGCAAAACCTAGATTTTCTTTTCAAATTCCAAAAGGTTCGGTGTTCTCAGATCATCAAGAATGTTTCCCAGTTTTCAGATGCTTTGAACGGAAATTTCAACGCTTAACATAGATTCTTAGTTGTGATTTACCTTGTTATGACTCGATAGGCAAAATTTCCATGAATAATCCCCGAAAAATGAGCCCGAGATCATTCAAAGAGATAATTTTTCTGTTTAATATGACCTTGATTCGCTTTGAAAGACAACAGCATGATTCTAGAACTTACAAGGGAAGGAAGGTTAGTCGAAGTGGCCTTTTGGGGGAGGGGGGAGTCATGAAGGTTTTTGTAAGTGAAAAGTTAAGCGCAAGATTAGTTTAACTGGTAGCCGGGTCACTCGGTGCAACAAATAATTTTGATACAAATATACCAACTCATGCTCCTCATGTAAACGTTAATACAACGTTACGACTGATTTTATACTAATCTTGCATTTGAATTTTTACTCCCAAAAACCTTCGTAATTCCTCGCTCAGAACATCGCAGTAGATAGCAAGGGTAAATTTTGAATCAGCGTTTCAAGCTCTACAAAAAATGCACATCTCATCTTAAAGGCCATTTCAGCCAATATTCCCTGCCTTATCAGAATAAGAAATGGATAGCGAGAGTTAGCTATTCAGTTCTGAAAGAGGCAAGTCATTGTATCGCGAAAGGAAAATGAGGAATAACTGCATCGGGTGCGGTCCAGACTTTTTTTTCGTAGTCTGTTCATGTATAGGCTTTGTAAAATCCAATTGCCTTTGCCTGCGCCTAGCCTTAAACACCAACGGGTGGAGTATACTTTGGACCGAATCGAATAAATATTCCAGTACTCAAATAATGTACTCAAATAAAATCCATTCAATATTCGACTATTCGACATTTTCGACTTTGGAATATTCGATGTTCGAATACTCGATATTCTTTGTTGTTCTTGAAATGTTCGAAGTTCGCTTATTCGATATTATTTTCGAATATATTCGATTAGCCGACTATTTTTCGAGAAAAATTCAAATATTTCAAAGCATAGTGCGGAGCTGCTGGAGACATGGGGTTCCGAAGCGCTATAGGCCATTCACAGCCGATAGTGAGCGCGCACCTGCAGACGTAATTTTTCAACTTTCATTTTCATTCATTTTCATTTCATTTTCATTTTTCAACTTTCAGAGTCACTTGTGGTTGAAATATAATGTGCAGTGTTGTAAATAACATAAATTTTGATCGGAAAATTCATAGTAATTGCCAGCCCATGGTGCCAATGCACTATTCGTCTTCACGATTCGCAAATTGCAAACTTATAAAAAATAGTAGATATATGAAATTAATGCTCTACTCAATTTACCCAATAAGTCTTGCTCAAATCCCGGTGGTACGTGCAATTCGGTGATGTTCTTGTAGGAATAAGCTTGAAATACTTGAAGTTTCACATTTGAGACCTTTTTTGACATCCCCATTTTCTAGCGAACACAATCTATGCGATTCTCTTGTCTAGATGAAAGCATAAAAGAAGGAAATGTTCTAAATTTCTGTGCGCTGATGGACAAAAATGACGGTGAAGTATGCGCGAGTTATTGACACCCACCAGCTATCGTTCTTCTTGCTCCCACCTCATTCGCTATCTTCAGAAAGCTGCCCAAAAATATTCAAAATACCTCGAAATAGACCACAGCAAACATCATGTTTTATTGCCTCATATGCTTGGTTTCAAAGCATGCTGATAACATATGATTGATTCCATTCTGATGGATCATTCCGTCACAGCAGCCGCTATTCCCCAATGATCGCTCTGATCTTCCATAGATTAGCGGCCTTCATCGATGGAATGGCTTCATGGGCTACATGCTATTCCCCTCTCGTGTCACTTCTTTTTAGAGCTATTGGGCCAACAAATGGCCAACAAATCCCTTTTTGCATATCCATACATCAAGTTTATGAGATTACTGCAGTTCACTTCTTTTCTGCAGATGATTCGTATTTATTAGGTTGTTGCAAAAATAATGCCCGTTTTTCTAGGCCTAGATTCCAAACAACTTTTTTAGTCAAACTTTCTATTACGATATAGAATTCACATATCATTGGGAAGCTTTCTCCATGTACTTTCTAACGGTGGTGGAAATAAGCTGTTATCCTCATCTGTGAGAATTTCACCAGCATTTTGCACATCCGCACTCAAAATCGAAATTTCATAGCTTTCAGTTTCTTGACCACAATTCAGGAGCAAATAAACGAATTCTTCTCAAAACATAGCAACTGTATTAGATGAAGATTGTTTACCTACTGCATGCTCATCTAGATTTTTGGAGATAACTGGACTGAGAAATTGACGCCTCGAAATAGATACTTGCTGCTGGCATTCTATGGGTCAGAAATTTCTCATGATTAAGGCAATCGCCAAAGCTTCGCCCATTTCTGTAAGCTTGATATAAGCGCACCTTAACTACAATATCTGAAGAGAAACTTAGCTATTCAGTGCACGAAGAATTCCAAAATTTCATAATTTGGCACTCACAAGCCTACAAGAAATAGGCTCAAAAAAGTGAACATTTTTGAATTTTTATCTTTTCTTTTCGCACAACTCCTTCTTTGGAGTCTTTTCTATACATACGTAAACGCGTGGCCTGTGGCTACAAAATAAGCTGATTGGCAGCCGCACGAACACAACTTTAAGGGAGTTGTAAGCTTTCAAAGAAGAGGTTTTCAAAAGAAAAACTTCCACTTTTTTGACGCATGGTTTTCTTCCCGTTTGCGATATCAGTACGGGCAGGTGCGCGCTAAATTACGAAAGGTTTGCTGTTTCTGACGGTCTTAACTGCATTTAAAAATATGAAGAGTGAACGAAGTTATAGCCTTCCAAAGTGAAAATTTGCAAAACGACATTATTTTTGCAACAACCTAATACAAAGGCGCATTAGTTATTACATTCGTTGCTTGACGGGAGTGAGAGGCAGTTCTTTCTGGAAGTCATGCGCTAATGAAAACAGCTGCGCTAATTGACAACACTCATACGACTCAGTAGAGAAAATTCTTATTTCGTTTGCCACGATTGATCTAACAAGGGGAGCATGTCCAGTCGCAGTGGCCTTTTTAAATGGGATGGATACCATACTGGAGGGCATAAAGCCCTAATTTCAAATCTGCCCTCTTTACCTGCGGAACATTATGGATGAGGAGTTATGAGCGTTTATTGGAGCAAAAAATCACATGTACAAGTAGGACAAAAACTTTCGATTTTTTCTAGCATTTTAATGGAGCAGCGGTAACCACCAAAGTGCCTATCACACATGGTTGCTTTATTTGAGGGCTAGGAAGATATTAGGGATTCGTTTTTTCCCAGAAGCCCCAAAGAACGCATAGCGCACTCGAGTGCGCTATGCGTTCTGGCCTTCAGTTCGAAATCGCTGTGTGGGCGGCGTTCGGGCCTAAGACCCAGGCCATTTCGGAGCAAATTTCAGGCTTGGTAGACCCCCTTTTCCGCCCTGAACTTCAGTCATCACTTCGGTAGGAGGTCTACTTTGGCATTGCCACAAAAACCCGGCACCCATCTTTTTGCCGGGACGCTGGCTAACCAATAAGTTGTTGAACAGAAGTCATGTAACAAAAATGAAGTCGTTTCCAATGAACTGTTGCTAAAACGCTCTCTCATTTTTGTGGTACTGAGTCTTGGATGATTGCTATCTCTATAGATCATGACTTATAATAAGCCGCTTATTTGTCGGTCTGTTAGTCTCTCTGTTACGAAAATACAGTGAGGAATGATTTACAATTCTTTGGAGCATGTGAGGTTCTGATAGTGAGTATGGTTCAATTTTGATTAGGACTCTCTCACCGCAGTCAACCTGGCAATAATCTAAAAGGAAGCCTTCACATTGTAAGTTTACCATCGTTTCTTGATGGCCAGTGCGAACCTCTGCGAAGCAGAGGTGAAGCACTGGTATTACATAAGCAAGCGAATAGATGTAGTGATTCCTTAGATTCAATATTGTTCAATCATGAATCAAATCGGTGCGAGAAGAATGTTGGATGTTAAATTGTACGGTTTCCTTCTCAAACACCGAGATTCAACAGCTGACAGATTTTGACTTTTGCTTAGTATCTCAAGAAATTCCTGCTTAGGCATTCTTTAAAATGTAAACCTTCCAATTAGATTACGAACTAGAATGGAAGTGTGTAAGAAACCCAGAAAAAGTCAATCAAGTGGGCTTTTATCAAATGAGCGCTTCTTTTTTGTAGTATTGAAAGATGTGGCTTTGGAGATGTTTAAGGAACCATGCATCAATTCATCAAAATATTGATTTGTCCGAAAATTAATGCAGGTTCCTTATGCGATCGCAGCATGTGAGCAAAAAAAGTGGGAGACATATCATTTGATTAAGCAAAGCAATGTCTACAAGACTTGCTCTGAGTCGCAAAAAGTTAGATTCGCATGAAAATTGAAGGCCCAAGAATCAGATCTCTGTCCACAGAAATCCTGCAGGCCCCCAGCTTGGTCACGCATATGCTCCTAAATCATTTATGTGTACATTTGCCGCGTTTTTACAAGGCTGGAAATGTATGAAATAGGCCAAACTTACAGGTTATGGAAATTTCTTCCCACATACAACAGCTGGTAGGATCGTATCGATGTTGTATGCGATTGTTGGCATTCCGTTGGTGTTTACCATTTTATGCGAGTGGGGATTTCTCTACTTCACTTGGATAGAATACGGGTGGAATTGGGTAAACGAGCGATGGTGTCAAAAGTCAGTCCGCTTTTAGCCTTAATCCAATAAATATTCGATAGTGTTTGAAGGAGTCTCCAGCGACAAGTGGAGAAGCGACATTTGAGGGAAAGGTGAGTCTGTTTACAGGCCACTCTAATTCTTCTTTTGAATTTAGTTCACTGTTGGGAAAACTTTCCTTGCAGAATTCGTCGGGTAGGCAGCGAGCTGTCACTGCACAGCATGGCGCAGGTGCCGCTATTGAGTGTACATAGAACAACGAGTAATTTAGTGAATACTACCGATCACCAGGTTTGATTGCCATCTTTGTTTTTATTTGTCATTCGGAGAGTTAACAAAATAACAATGGACGTGGGGAAGAGCAGTACCATTAGTTAATCCATAACAACGTTGTACTCTGCTACATCGAAATTTGGTTTCCAGCTAGTGTCCTTCAATTGTTAAAATAACAAGTTACTTGAAATCGCATTAACGCTTCATCGTTAATCTGGTAAAGGGTTAACCAGCATTTGGCTTCTTTATACTGTAAAGCAAGGGACATACCTCACGCGATTTCAGTCGCCACGCGATCTGGCGATTTGCCAGATGTCTTCAAATTTAATGCTGGTAGACCCCAAATGCACAGCATGTATAATTTTCGTAGGTTGATAAAATGCCCCATCTCCCGTATATTCAGAAACCCCGTACGATGAGTTATGAACATTTGGAGTACTGCCAAATCGCGTGAGGTATGCCCGAGGCTACTTGCCAATCAACATCATGTATTGGGACGGCCCCTTTCTTGTTTTTATTATTTGGCACACCCAGAGTACAAATAGTATAAAAAAGAAAAATAAGTTAGCTGTTACGGTTGAAATCCTTCAGATGAGCATATTACATATACTAGTATGCAGCCTCTAACTCTACTAACTTTTGGTACATAAATGTAGCCAAAGTTCTATCAAGGACTTGCGAATAATTTGTAAATTGTCTCACAAACGCACAAGATTCTGCTTTGAGTTGGTAACACTCGTCTAATATCATATGACTTTTGCAGCTAGGATAATGGCTACTTAACAGTAAGAAGGTGTAACGCTTGTCTGTTTCTAGGAGGTGTTGTGACATACTCTGTTGCCTCTGTTTTGATGTTTTGATGGCCCCGTGTTAAAAAATAGCACAATCTCATGCGAAACACGCATTAGGTTTAGTCTTAATTTGATTTCGATTTTAAGTGGGTTTCAGAAAAAAATATTTTTAGCATTAAAAAGCAAATTATTTTAGTTATTACGATGTGAATAAGTTCTGTTATATGTTTCTCAACAAGATCAACTTTATATGGAATAAACTAATGCTCTTTAAAGCTCTGAGTCTGCTCTGGAAATTCATATGCATCACCCGCAACCTGGCAGGAAAGTAAAAAAGATTTTTTGGCAGAGGCGAAAAATCAATTTCTACATCTTTTTTGTAGCCAAATTTTGCTGTATTCCATAAGTAAAATTTACCTAACAAGTTTGACAATAAACAGAACAACCTACTAGCCTTTCATGTTTTTACTGCTACTGTCTGTGCTTGTTCCTTTCCTTCTTCCGACTTCGATTGCCATTTTCAAAAGTCGGCGAAGCAAAACTTTGCCGCGACTATATTCGCCGTCTCGCGTACGTAAGCTGTGTAATCGCCAAATTTCGAATTTTTGAATAAGTAAAGCATATTTGATAATTGTTAGCGAAAGGCCATCCCTCCCTTCTGCCTTTTTTGGATTGCTTGTCTGCCGTCTTCCCTCAGGACTGCTTGCATAATGTCAACATTGAGAAAATTTCATAAGAAGACCTTTAATGTATTGTTTTTAAGTTTCTGAACCGCTGCTACAACCGCTGCTACAACCGCTGAAAATTTTTCAAGCTGTTTAGCAATTTGGGTCTGCTTGGAGGGCGACGTAATGTGGTTGTCAAAGACGAATTTTTCCTTTTTTGGTTTTCCAAATTTAACGCTCGAAAACTCTTCCAAACCTCCCGATGTATGAAAGAAGTAAATAAATATTTTGTAGAGCAGGCTTAGAGGTTTCGTATGCCCATATACATTTTGCAAAATGCTGTCAGGATATTGTAGAAAACAATAGAAAAAAGAACTCATGACACCTAGTAGTTGGTCCAAACACCTAAGAATTCTATTTACACATTCACTCGCAGAAGTCCACCATTTCAGATCGAGTCAAATAAACCACTGGGAGAGCTGGACGTAGTGCTTCCAGCTGAAGAACAAGCACAAACAGTACCCATGAAAGCAGCAATAATCTTCTTTTTCATGTGGATCAGCCTCTCAGCGTTCATCGTAAGGTTTGTGTCGTGGTCGTTTTGAACGAATTCAGCCAATGCTCCTTTGCAGGTTGTGGGAATACGAATGGTCTTATTTTAGTGCCTTCTACTTCTTTTTCACTTCGCTGACAACTATCGGTAAGCTGAAGAATTACATAATTTTTTCTGCATACTTCAGCTTTGCAAATACTCCATACGATCGCAAATAAGTAGTAAAATTCGGTGATTTTAGGCCTTGGTGACGTAGTCACGAAAACTCCAAACTTCATTATCTTCAACTTGGCTATGACACTTATTGGGCTGTCTGTAGTAGGACTTTGCTTAGCTATAGTTCAGGTGATTATGTTATATTATGCCTCAGGCTAAAAAGGGAATTTGCGATGTACAAGTTTAATCATAACTTATTGTGTAAATGACGTTATGCGCAAGTTTCAGGCAAAAGTCAGATTGGTGTTCGATCGGTTGATTCGTTCCATAGACGCTCAGTATCGAATCCGCCAAATTGATCCAGATGTTGCCACCATGACCTTGATACCGGATGAAAGAGAAGGAATCAAAAGGTGATTAATAATCTATTTTAGAGAATGCGGAAAGAGTACTGCCTCTCTAATTTATCTTGATATCAAGTGAGAATATATAATCTCAATTCCGTTCCAAAAAATAAGGTTTTGGTCCATTTGTATGACTTTGTCCAGTAAAGCTGTAGCAATCCTGATCTTTTAGCAGTTTACCTCATTCTACAGAGCACAGATTTCCGTTAAAGGTTACTTTATAAGAGCAATTCGACTCAAATAACTTAACACCTGGATGAGCACTTTTACATACGGCACATAGAATTATATACTAATCATAGAACGCCAACACGAGATCTCTTGGAAGAATACTTAGTCGAAAAGACGTTTCCGTATGAAATGCATACTTTATTATAGAACATGGAACGCTGATTCCAAATCTGCTTTCGTGTCTGGGAAGTAAGTTGTGGGAATGTTCAAAAATCAATTGGCTGATGTAAAAGCAGGTGTTGAGGTCTTTCGTTCTTACGTTTGAAAGGAGTGATGACTGCCATGAGTTTATTAGACTGAAGATATTAACTGCATAAAGAGCCCTGGAGGTAATCATGGTGGCCACACAGGAGCTCCAGCTTAGAATTCTGCATAAACTTTATAGCAGCAGCGCGTTCACGTTTTTGCATCAAAAAATTCACATAACTCTTCTCATAGAAAGCGCTTCGCAGATAGCGGAAGCAGATTTGAAAACAGCGTTCCATACTTCATGAGATGGGTTTTAATAGTATACATATTTGTGCCAAGTTGGTCCGGATTGGTTCACAGATAAAAATCTATTCGCAACATACGTACAGACATATAGGCATGCAGACATACAGACACACAAAACATACAGACATACAGATAAATTGACATTCAGCTTTATTTGGACAGATTCAGTTTGAACTAGTGTAGTGCAAAACTTCCTCTTCCATCCTCTCCTATAATATAAACCCGATCCCAAAAAACGAGACGGTGAGGATGGTCCGCCCACATGTATCCTTCAACGGGTGTTTTGAATAGACGCCAGTTGCCGAACGGGGCCTTATTGTGTAGAGACACGACGGTGCGATCATGAGGTCAAGAGGACGCAGAGGTCCTAGCGCGAACGAGAGGACACGACACGCAGGGTACGATCTGCTGCTGCAATGGGTGTGTTGAAAGACGCAAGCGCGTGCCAAGGGTGTTGGAATTGCGAGCTGGTCATTGTTGCAAAGTTAGTTGTGGAAGCCTACCATTTATCCGCTCACAGCCAGTCTCAGTATTCACTGTGCTTCCACTTTTCCGCCAAATTTTGAGAAAATCTTCGAAAATCTCGCCTTTGGGAGCTTGCTCTGGGTAAATTCGACTTTTGATTGACTCCAGATTGTAAGCGTGAGTGCGAGAGTGACATTGCGAAAGGAAGCTGTGCAGCGATGACTAGAGCAGAACAAAATTTTAGCACGATATGATCCACTTTTTCACAAAATTTTGAGAAAATCTTCGAAAATCTCGCCTTTGGGAGCTTGCTCTGGGTAAATTCGACTTTTGATTGACTCCAGATTGTAAGCGTGAGTGCGAGAGTGACATTGCGAAAGGAAGCTGTACAGCGATGACTGGGGCGAAACAAAATTTTAGCGCGATATGATCCACTTTTCCGCCAAATTTTCAGAAAATTTTCGAAAATCTCGCTTTTGGGAGCTTTTGAACTGGGTGAATTCAATTTTCCTTTCCGGATTGTAAGCATGAGTGCGAGATAACGTTGCGAAAGGAAGCTGTACAGCGATGACTGGAGCGAAACAAAATTTTAGCGCGATATGATCCACTTTCCTCCCATTGAAAAAATCTCTGAAAATATTACTTTTGAGCGGTTGTGGCAATACATATACTGATGAATTAAAAATTCACTTAAGAAAATTATAGGTATGAAACGCGTTTATTTATGGGTGTGCCCTACCCGCTTGCTAGCGACCCGTAGGGTCGCTAGTCTTATATATAAAGCTGAATGTCTGTTTGTATGTCTGTCTGTATGTATGTATGTACGTATGTTCCGAATAGAAAATTCCATTTCTGAACCGATCCGGACCAAACTTGGCACACATACACTACGGGCCCCGGCGGGTGTCATAGGCTACTTTTCGTCATCGATCGATATCGATTTTATCGATTTTTATCGATTTTTTTGCTGAGTTCACCTACGGGGCTGGGAGTTGGCACAGGGGGGTAATCGAGCATGGGGATTCCGAATACAATATTGGTTTTCAGGATTATCGATTACTTTTATCGATTTTATCGATTTTTTTGCAAAGTTTGAGCTACGGGGCTGGGAGTTCGCACAGAGGGGTAATCGAGCATGGGGATTCCGAATACAATATTGGTTTTCGGGATTATCGATTACTTTTATCGATTTTATCGATTTTTTTGCAAAGTTTGAGCTAGGGGGCTGGGAGTTGGCACAGGGGGGTAATCGAGCATGCTGATCATCCCCAAGGGGGGTGATCAGCATGCTCGATTACACCCCTGTGCCAAATTCCAGCCCCCTAGCTCAAATTTTCAATTTTTTTATCTAGCTCTAAACAGGAAAATTTTAAGCTCATCGGACTATAGAGGTGCTCGGAAGAAGGTAAGCGCTATTGCTCCGTAAGCTGGATCCAAAGTAAAATTTGAAAATCACAGCAATAAATAAGCAAATACGATGAGTTGAACATTTATCTTTGTTCTACATGTTACTTTGGATACATTAGTTAATTGTTTCAAAACGCTGAATCATGTTTTTTGATCATGTCTTATTACATCGCAGCAGATTACTCTTAGAAGAAGCCACAACTTTTTTGCTAATGCACTGGAAGACTGACTATTTTTAGGAAGGATCGCAGTAATTATCAAATTTGTTTAGCTGTAAATGGCTTTTCTGTTTCTTACTGGAACAAAATATGCTGCAAATTCTTCAATTGAAGACTAGCTGGCATACCCGGCTCCGCCCAGCCCTATCAAAACACTATGATGAAGGCCCCATCCCTCCCCCCCCTACAACCTTTGTGTGCCCATTTCCACGTGCCAATTCGCTACTCCCGATTTCCCTACTCCCGGTATTATTTGTAGAGCGAAGTTGAACTTACATTTAAAGTATGGAGCGAATCATCTATCCTCTTCATTACTGTAGGATTACGGTACAAACTTCCAGCATATGGAAAAATTGTGAAATATACCGCCTAACATAATTTTTTTCAAAAAATCTGAAAAAGCGCGTACTAGGATTTTCGCGCACGCTGATTCCACCTATCAACTTCTTATGAGTGTTTTCAGCTTTGTTGACGGTGTAATCACATTTCTGACAAATACTGGGAATTCAATTATTATGGTTTACCCGGGATAACTTTGGAAAGAAGCATCACAGCTAGGTGAAAATTTCAAATTCGAAAACAGCGGCTCTCATTACCGTAGTACATGAGTTTGGCTTGTTTGGTTTTGTCCCGAGACAAAATATAGCCTTCAATGGCCCAAAATCCTTGTCGAAGTTCGTACCGTAATCCCACAGCAATGAAGGGCGATAGATGATTAGCTCCATACTGTAAATCTAAGTTTAACCTCGCACTATAAAATGGTACCTGAAGCTTTTTGAAACACTTCGTTACAAGAGAGTTATTTACACTCAAACAGTAGGCACATTTTTTGGGACACCCTGTATATATGCATGGAGATGGTACTAAATGATAATCTGAGTAAATGGCAGGATTTGATGAGAGTTTCTGTGAAGTGCGAAAATGCTTTCTTACCTTAGCATTAGTTCAAGTCTGTGAATCGCTAAAAGAGATAAACTATTTCGTTGCAGATTGATTGGCTCTCAGCCCCTTCAAGATCGAATAGTGTTCATATTCATGGACGAGCACAAAAAATCTATGCTGAGTGATCGCTGGAAGTCGCGCAGTGGTATGACAAATAGGTAGGTCTATCGGGTAACGGGATAGAGGATCATATGTCTCGAAAGGGGTGCTCCTTCGCGAACATCTGCAGCACATCAAAAAATCTGCTTTGCACCAGTTACACAAAATTAAAACATAGGTTGTGCAGGCACTCTTATTAATTTTATACTAACCAAGAGCTGCTGCTAGACTTTGTGATAGTGAGTATGTCATCACACCAGAGAGTTTAGAGTTATGATTTTAGAACAATATTGATGGAGCAAATATCCACAAGGTCTAACAACTTCCTTCAATTTATTAATCTTGACGTCAAATACTTGATAAACCCAGACAGTAATACTCTTTATTCACGGCCAATGTTTCGACGAGATCTCCTCCAGAGCCCACAAAGTCGAAAACATAAGTAAAAACCCTTAGGCCTCGGACAGAGTTCACGCGATTTGATCGACGCGTTTCAGTCGCTACAGACAAGTGTTACGAGTTCATTGCATGTCAATCTTCTTGTATTTCGGTTGTGATAGTTATTCACGATTAGTCGTTTGTGAAACTATCACAACCGAATGTAAGAAGATCGGCATGCAATGAACTCGTAACACTTGTCTGTAGCGATTGAATCGCGACGATCAAATCGCGTGAACTCTGTCCGAGGCCTTAGACGATAAAACGACAGCCCAAGATGAAAGTCATTTCGAAATGGTACGAAAGTCAAAGGAAAGGTTCGTGTAGATACTCGCTTTATAAATATAACTTGAAGAGATGTGTCAGAGAGCTATATATTCAGGTTATATCTCTTTCTCAATTTATAAACCTCATACCAAAATCTACATAGGGACTGATGGCGAGTACTCATTAGATCGCAATACATTCTTCCTTCCAATTTATCTTTGGCGTCGGTCCAAAATGCTTCCAAGCTTTTGCGCGCAAGGGGCTCGGCTCGTACACTAGTACAGACACTCTAATACATACCACAGCATTTTCGTGGCACAAAATGCGATGACTGCCGAATGCAGTAGCGGGTCTATTTGATTAACCCTGCTTTAAAGCAAATATATCAAAAAGGGCGCCCTTTTTTTCGGATATACGTATCACCGAAAAATTATGATGAATATACACTCCGAAAACCATGCAAACACTCTCTTTGCCGAATGGACAAACGACGCATGCTGGAATCAATCATACGGTCAATTTCGGACTAGCTGGCGTTTGAAAAAGCGACCACCCTGATAACGTGCTGCAAATCTGCGAGATGTACGCATCGCCCCAACAAAATGAGCAACCCCCATTTTCTAATACGTATTTAAAAGTGTGCGATTATAAACAGGCTTTAATCTCCGGACGACTATGAATGCAGTTATCGCCGCCAATGCTATCTGCCCTGGCTTTTTGCAAAGTATTGGAGCTATGAAAACAGACTAATTGTATTTTGGTCTTACAAATATCTGGAGAAGGATATCTTATACAGGGCTTACCAACCGCAGTGTCGGGAGCACCAGCTCCGCTCAGGTGCGGCCGCTTCGCCTGGACTCTGCACCTCTTTCGCGAACATGCTTTCTTATCACTCTCCCACCACTAGCGTGGAAAGGCGAAGCCTCAATTGATTGCAAGTGATTAGAGGGCATGTTCGCGGAAGAGGTGCAAAGTTCTGCGCGGAAGTGGAGATGCTGGTACACCCGACACTACAGTTGATAAGGATTTGTATCTAGCACAACCTTTTAGTTGCATCTAAATCCACACTTGCGAGAAGCTCTCACGGTTTTTCGCGTAATTAACACAAGCAGATTCGCTTGTAAGCAAAAGCAACCATTCTTCTGCGAGTAAAGCATTCCTTGCAGGATAACCCAGACGTACCCATCGAGGGCAGATAAATATGTGCAGACAGGGAACCGCGTCTACGATCAACCTGGAACGCAAGAAGACGATGATGAATATGATGATGTGAGTGTAGACAAATCTCTAATCATACACTGCAAGTGATACTCTCACAAAAGCAGAAAACAGTCGTACTGGCAGGAGAAGAGTTATTAATCAAAGAGTGCCCTCTAACGCTGATTTTCTGCTCCATTCATGCTATCAATATGTTTTCAGTGAAGGATGGTAGGAATACTTACGAATAGGTAAATAGCATGAAATCCAGAGGTTCGAAGCTTTAGGATGTAAAGCTTTTCTGAAGCTGCGATCCCCCCTCCCCGGCGGGGATGTTAACGCATGCGGCCCTTAGACATTCTCGGCGTTCGTTAAACTGTTCTAACAAGGTCTTCACTTCTGTGGTCAAGGTGAATATGCGGTGAGGGTCAAAATGACGTTTGGTTCACGGGGCTTATTCAGCACGCTGATCATGATTTCATTCTGCTTCGCACACTAGCGCCGTTTCCCAGAATTGCCTAGGGTAGATGGATTTTGATTCCGACATTGCCCGAAATTTCGTCCAGGAAGTTTGAGGGAAGGAGAGTTTTAGCATGCTAATTACAACTATTGGGTTGTCCCAAAAGTAAACTCCTTTTTCATACAATTCAATCTGTTTTTGTTTTCCCAGTAAACTTAGGACATGATTTGATAGAGTAGATCAAGCTCTACAAAACATCGCCAAGGATCCGCTTAAGTCGCATTCCATGGAAAGTTTGAAGCTAAAATTTAAAAAAATTTTGTCACCTGAAAATTGGATTTTTGACAAACAATCCTAAAGACCACCAATTTGGTCATTATGCAGTAGACATATACAGTCGAGTAGATTTAGCGGTAAATATAGTGTGCTTGCACAGAAGGTGAAATGCGGTAAAATTGGCGCGTGAGGAAATAGATTCGACTGTGACGCCGGCCAATTGCGCGCGCAAGATACTCGCGGTACTCCGTGGCTACTTGTTCACGCGCAAATTTCACCGCATTTCACCTTCTGTGCAAGCACACTATATTTACCGCTAAATCTACTCGACTGTAGTAGTACTCAAGCATGGAAAGCGAGAAATAAAAATTGTCGAAAAATGGCAAACTCCGCCCCTAACCTGTCCCACGTATGTCTTTGCATACTACAAGCCTTACTAAGTATATTTCAAAACCTTACCCCTGTATGTGCTCTTATAATCGAGAAATCAAGTTTTACATAAAAACTCCGAAAAAGTAGCATTATAGCATTTCTGGACCATTTTTTCTCAATTTTGAGCCCCGGAAAAAATCCATCATACATTTTTAGGTACTTCTATGTGTCTACTATATAAAGACGAAGTTGGAAATCCGTAAGAATTTTCTGGAAGGAGATCCGATTTTTAGGGTAACTGAAAAATTTCGATTTTTGGCCCCAAATGTTATCTTAATTACGACTTAAGTGGATCTTTGGTGATCTTTCTGTAGAGCTTGCTCGCTCTATCGAGTGGTACCCTGAGTCTGTCATGAAAACAAAAACAGCTCAATTTATTTGAAAATGGAGTTTACTTTTGGGACAACCTAATATGATTTCGGTAGCGCACAAAGAGATCTTGCGCTGAGGGTTATCAGGGTGTCCAAAAATTGTGCCTGCCTACGGGTTGATTTCTATTAACTCGCATGAAGCCTTTCGAAAAGCTTTAGGTACTATTATGATGGCATCAAGTTAGATTTACATATCCGCCGATCTCTCCTCATTACTGTAGGATTAGGGTAGGAACTTTTTGAAGGAGGTTTTGAGCCATGGACCATGTATCTGGTCTCAAAGAAACAAAGCGACCAAAAACTCACACACTAGGCTAACAAGGGAAGGATAGTTGGATGCCGCGGCCATTCCTAAAGATTTGTACACCAAAAAATGCGCCTTCGAATGCAGATTCTGAATCTGTGCTCGAAATCTGCGAAACGATCTTTTGAAGAAAGTTATGAACTTTTTTCCTTGAAAATTTAGCCTACTTTTGGATAGTAAAAATCACCAAATTTGATCTAGCCTACCGTTTGATGCTACTGAAGAAAATTTTAGTCGTAGTAATATTTATTTAGACTATCTGGATCATACTCAGCATTTGGAAAGGAGAGAAATTTTTTTTATTGATGATTTTGACCCTCCGCAGGAATGCAATTTTTTTAATGAAAAAAATCATAACTCCATTCAGATTATCGTTTCGCAGATATGAAAGACAGTCTACGAACCAGCATTCAAAAGCGCATTTTTTGGTATACAAATCATTATGAATGGCTACGGCATCCAAGTATCCTTCCCCTGTAAGTAGAGTTGCAGATTCTAATCATGAACTTTGCATCTCATCATAATGCATCCTTGAAAAGTTATGGTAAGCAGTCCGTTATTTCGTTGTTCCTGAAGAATGTGGTTACGCCGTTTAGTAAGTTTCAGTTTTGCACAAAGTTTTGTCGAACTCAGCTTCCATGAAGCCCTACAGGCAATTTACTTTATTGAAAATATTTGAATTGGCCGCTTTTTCACAGCGACGCCATAAGCCGGAAATTCCTACCGTACTCCTACGTAATGAAGAGCGATCGCTGATCTGCTCCATATCGTAAATCTAATTGTAAGTTGAAGCCAGCTGTAGAAAATGGTACTGCAAGATAGTTACTAGCAATCAAACAATAGACACATTCTTTCGAACACCTGTGTAGTACAGCGCAAAGACTCAACGCAAACTCGTCCTACAATCGTAGTCAGTATGCTGGGTGGTTCCTCTGCCTGCAGATAATTTTGAACAACATCGAAGTGGCCAACTTTAAGAGGCAGTGTCCAGGCAAATCGGGGCGCATGGGTTTTTTGCCTGGATATTGATGAGGGGTCCTAACTAAGGCACTACCCAAGAGATAGCGCAAGTTGTTCACTCACGGCTGAGAAATTCGTCTCTGAAACCCTGGTTACGACTTCTCTCACTCCAACACTACGTTCGCGCTGGGACCCATCCTAAGTGTTACAACGATCACGACGCAGCTGCGGAGTTTTTGAGGACGAATTTCTCAGCCGTGAATGAACAATTTTCGCTGCGGTTTGGGCAGTGCCTTAGCTAGAACTTCCTCATCAATTTCCGGGCAAAAAACCCGTATGCTCAGATTTGCCTAGACACGGCCTTTAAAAGTGTAGTTGATTGTTCACGCGCGTTTACCGCATTTTCTCCCACCACAAGCACCCTAAATTAGCAAAAAACTTAATCGTGTACGCAGCGTAACGTCGAGAAATGCAGCCATAAATCTAAATCGGAAATAATAATACTCGTAATCAGCGAGGTATCAAACTCTATGGACCGAATTCGCACAAAATCCAGATCGTCAGAAGTTGCGGCCGGAATACAAATAGTGCTCTAATTTGAACAGTTCTGAGTGCCTAGATCCACGATAAAAAAAATTTGGGGCCCGGATAATGCAATAGCGCCACGTTTAGCAGGTAGAAAAAGCATATTTGCAACCAGCTGCAGGAACCCAAAACTTTTGAACTTCGGATAAAAACATTGATTTGTACCAGAAGATGGTTTGATCTCTTCCCATTCTGCCAATGCGACTTGGCATCGTTTACATGCTGGGTTTTTCAAAATCTGACGTAATTCTGTAAAAACTCATCAACTGACGGTTAACTACTATCCAGGAAGACGAAAGTGAAGAAGACGAAGATGGCGTTGAATACGATGAAGCTGGTAATAGGATTGTTCCTCCTAGTACGAAGCGATACATTTATACCGTATTTGACTGATGTTGCTCACAATTCGATTAGCTGCTATCGTGCTTCATTTTTTGACTATACTTGACTTAAATCACAACCAACGATCTCAATCAAACTTTCATCTGTTTGCACAAGCATATTTTCTTTTATGTGAAAATGAAATAAATCAAATATTTTCTTCGATCTCAAAAGAGATTCGACAATTGTGCATTGTATGTTGATAAAAACGTGACTGACTACACAACACAACGGTCGAATAACAAACAACACAACTAAATCTTGAAAGAATACATCGAAAAACAGTACATGTCATCAGAAAAACTAATCAACATTCAATACAGTACACGAAAAACACGAAAATTAAAGTCTTTGTGGAAAACGAATCGCGATGCTACACTGTACCATCAGATCCATATGAAACGGTGATTCTCCGTTCTTCTCTGAGGAACTCGTAATAGAGGAACGATGAGAAGGAAGTATAACAATGAAATGCGTTCCGTACAACAGGGTCACGCTACAGGTTTGGCACGTCCCAGCGGAAGTGCAGGTGGAGGCATCAAAGCTCGATCTTGATCTTCCTGTAAATGTCACCTTCTTAAGCGGAAATATCTTCCATTGTTTGTAACAGATGCATTCAATTTCTAGGAGCCTAATAGCTTCTTGAGTGCATTATGAGGGATCTACATCGGCTTGGTAATTGAACTGAGTGACCATCAGTGTTAACTTTGCAGTCCGAAGTTTGGAGTTCAGCGTTATGATAATAAAAGATAGGCCGCGGCAAAGAAGGAATTTTTTACCATAAACCGACTAGAATTAGAAGGGCCTATAAAATTTTGAACTATTCCCAAAGCCGAAGTGTTGATTGCAATAGAATCAAAACCATGATGCCATTAGGTTGTAGTAAGCGAGATTTTTTTCCGAAGAAAAACGAATTAGCAAGAAACTACTTCGACAAAGTCAGATAGCCTCAAATCCGGAAATGGCAAAATTATATACCAACTTCAGAAGTAGCCAAGCAAACACATACTTCTGCAATTGTGGAACATAATATCCCGATGATATTAGCAGGAGTTTACTGTGGCCCAAATAATGACAAGAACAGAACAAAATAATGTTGTCTACATCCAAAAACAAGGCGAAAATTTTGTATAAACTCATTGCGCCAAAAAAGTTTAGCTTCGTTTTTCAGACGCATACGGAACGAAGTGAGCTGTAAACATGGCCAGCATGTATGAATAGTTGAGCAATTGCAAACATAACTATATACGCATTACCGCTCCCAGTGTTTGATGCCAGGCACAAGTATCTGGGTGTTTCTTCATCCAAAAGCCCGTGCTAACGAGTTTCTCAAAACCAAAAATTAGCGGTGAAAAATGGGTAAAAAACAAAATGTGAGAATGAAGGAAAATAACGTAAGCTCCACCAACACATTCAAATAACCTTGAGGTATTGTGAATAGTAATTGTATCACTGATGCTCTCAAGCACTCACTTTTTCAATCCCATTAGTGACTTCCTCGCACAACTCTTCGTCGAGGCATCTAAACAAATCTCAATTTTTCTCTTCACAAAAAGCTTCTCGGCGAAACTCACTTCTCAGAGCGCTTAATTTTACGTGGACGCCCTCTTTTAGGTTTTTCGCCATCAGCAGGAGGTTCTTTCTTCCCATTCGTTGTTTTACGTGCCGATGAAACTGGCGCTGCAGGAGGAGAAGGTGGAACTGCTGTTGCCATAGCCGACGGCGGCACTTGCTGCAAAAAAAGCACCGCTCACACATCTTAATAATGAAAAAAGTGCTTTCCAAACCGCTGCTAATTTAAACCCTGCGGTTGGATGAACAATTACAGATTTTGTTTCTTTGTGATATGGAATGCAAGCGAAAACCTACACGCTATCTCAAAAACAGTGTTACAGCACGCGAGGACCGAGGGGCTGGAGCAGTGATACTTTCACTGAGACAATCCAAAGGTGATTTTGCACTTTGCAACATAGCCAGAAGCACTACGAGGCTTAACATGCTCCGCGCAAACTAAAGCCATGCTGAACTAAAAGCGGATCGCTGTCCACCATCCCCATACCAATTAATATACGCGAAGAAGGCCAAAGAGAAGCAGAACTTGAAGCCCGGTAGTTGCAAGGGCATTGCCTTTGAGGGCAGAAGCGCTGAGGACACACTGTCTGCGCACAGTTCTGAGGTTCATCGTAGAGATACACTCTACCTTCTAATTTGCATGAAGCAAATATTTTCTTCACAAATTTGCGAACATTTTGCGTTAGTGTTTGGTCTTCAAAAGATTGCAGTACTTACATATTGAATAGGAGGAACATTTTGTGTCTGTCCCGCCCCAGCCATAGTGGGTACCATCGGGGAGTAGGGTATGGTATAGGGTACTGACGCAGGAAGCGGAACTGAGTAGGTGCCATTTGCTGATTGCGGCGGCATTCCAAACGATGCCGATCCATTTACACCCATAGGGGAGACAGGGGTACAAGGACTGCATACCGGACTTGCACAGCTGGTTGGAGCCACAGGAGGAAGACCTGCCTGAAAAAAAAAAGAGACATCAGAATTCACTCATCGTTACAAAATTCCATAGCACGGAAAACTGATTTTCTGGTACGCAGCTCTTCGATTTATAAAACGATTACATAGGATGAATAGTATGAATCTGGAAAAACAGTTTTAAGACAATTGCTTTGGACCCAGCTCATGATCAAATGTTTGAAGGTGGTGCTATCCAGAAACAATTTTCCGGTCCTCGATGTCCTTGAAAGCAGATGACTATTATGTTAGCAGGTAAGCTTTAGAGTAGGCCCATGTGGACCGCTCATGCGTTGCTGGTGGGCCATAATCATGTAGACGGCAACATTTGATTTCAGTCTGAATCTTGCTTGTGCTAAAGTATGTCTTCAACTAGTTGCCAACAATATAGCATTTACAATACATATAGATCCTGTAAGATGAAGGTAGCCTAAGCGCGAACTCACGTGAAGTGATACGAAGAGCTGAAGACGTTTTCAGAAAACTTCTGACTAGTTGTGCTTAGCGATAGAGGTAAGATCATGTTTTCAACAAAAACATAAATCTATTTGGTAAACACGATGAACAAGCAGTAACATCATAGGTGAATCAAGATACCTAGCCGTTCATGCAGTCGACTGCTGCATCTACTTTATACAGCCGTACTCCCACATGAGCGCTTCCCAATATCAGATGAATGTTTGCCACCATTATGAAAGTGCTTAGAGGTCACAACAATGTAAATAAACCACACCATGTTCACATGTGGTTTGATGAGAATTATTAATTGCATCGCAATGGATCACACAGAGCGATAGAACTCTGATGTGGATTTTACGCTGAAACTAAAGCATATCGAAGTCATGCTAGCTTGCTAGGTTGATGTGATAGACGGGAGTCGCAAGTCTGTTTAGTCTGTTGAATATTTACATACTATGTACCAGAACAGCGGTGGTTGTACCAGAACAGCGGTGGTGCGGTCGATCAGCGTAAGAGTGCGAAAATAGTGCTAGACTGGTCCCAAATAATCAGGAGCTTACATGCATAATGGATGAATAGTAACATTTTTATATTCAACAATAGCTAGCTAAAAGAATATTTCGCAATCCCAAATTGTCCCGCCCCCTCCTTGCTCTATAGTTTCGGCGCTGGATCGAATCCTATCGAAAGCAAAAGCTACGGAGCATATACAGTACAATAAATAGCGACCAAGTGGATGCCCGCTTCATTCGTTCTGCATGATTGTTAGCAATGTAATCGCAAGAGAAACTTCAGTAACCAACACTGAAGTCTGGCAAAACTATAAAAAACCCAGGCACATTTTGTAAATGGTAAAAATGAACCAGAGCACGGTGTGATCTGGTATATTGACAAGGTTGTTGCTCCTACCTTTTCTGAACAAATAAAAATGGCTTACATCCTGGTCTTTGCACACCGATATACCCCAATAAGAAAACAAACCTGCAGCAACTGCATTTGTTGTCGTGCAAGCGAGGGATCAAATTCCGTCCCCATACGACCGGGGACTGCAACCTCTTTGAAGATGTCTGCGAGAAAGTGGAAGTGTGGATTCGCCATCATTGCTTGCTTCCTTAGAAAACCGAGGCTTTATCTTGGAAGAAAAAAAACAAGAATGTTCTTAAACATGATGGAACAGAAAATTGCCTCTATCAGAAACTCACATATGCGCAGGTGTTAATGTCCGTGAATTGCTCATTTGAGTAGCCTGAGCAGCTGCCTAATAAGACTGGTGATTATCAAAATATCAGAATGGCTTTCAAAAAAGAATAAGATACCTGTAAAAATTTCTCTGCAAAATGCTCCATGGCCCGCCCGATAGCCACTGGAACAGAAGCAACCATACGACCAATTTCTTCATCAGACTGCATGACTTTTTTGATCCGTGTCTGAATGATAATACTCAAAACGAGAAACAAATATGCTGCTATGAATTTCGTTCGCTGTTAGAATATCACCATGGCAAACAGTGCTCAAGAAAACAACCACAGAATTTGTTCCGATTCTGATCTGGGAGAAACCTGCTCAAGTTTAACCTGAGTGCATCTTATACAGTCGAGTAGATTTTCCGCTTAACACATTCACGACAGGGCCGATTTTTCGATGACTGCCATTTTGGACCTGAACTATTTCGCAAAATTGAGTTTGCGTAATATTCTCAGGTCACTGGTGCGTCCTGCGTTCTGAAGTGCTAATCTTTTAGAAAGTACTCCAAGATGTGTATGCAGAAATTTACTCGTTTTACCTGAAAAATTTCACCGTCAACTAGCAAAATCAAAAACTTCAGGAAGCGTCCCAACGGTGGGTCGTATTGTCGTGAATGTGATAATATAGTGTGCTTGCACTGCAGGTAAAATGGGCAATATCTGCGTGTAGAAAAATAGCTATACCTGTGACGCTGGCCAACTGCGCGCGCAAAATGCCAGCCTTACTGGCCAAATTTTACCGCATTTTACCTGCAGTGAGAGCACATTATATTAAACGCAAAATATACTCGACTGTATACATAATTGTTTGTCTAGCGTTTTTTGAAACAAAAAATCGAGAATACACTGGCACATGCGCGATATGTTTGGCAAAATAAGGTTAAGTACCGGCTGAATTTTGGCTGTGCTGAAACGACGACGCCGTATTGGACCTGCTCCTGATGAGGGTATATATAGTGGAGGACCCATTGAACTCGAAGGTCCTAAAAAAACTGATATGTGAATGAATGCGCAGCAAATCAGAAAGAAAAAAGAATGATGAATGTGCAAAATGATAAGCAGTGGATAAAGTGACTGCAGAACTGCTTCCAACAGTCAAGTCAAACCAAAATCTTGAATTAGCACTAAACCACGGTGAGAATGACGCTGTCCAATCATATTCATTAACTGTCAAACTCTTAAAAGTGCATCTTTGTCCTCAACGGCTCCGGCTAAGTGCTCAATTTCTCTAATTCTCTCATCTCTCCTCACACGAAAAAGTACAGACATTAGAAAAATTTGAGCGCTTCTGGCCGCTTTTGCGCGGTCTGGCTGGGGCCAAAGTTAGCGCGTATATTTGCGGAAAACGACGAAAGATGGGTTTGAGGTTCAACATGCAGTTTAAACCAAGCATACAAAAATCCCCGCGAAGCGAAATTATGTTTGTGTCCGAGCAAGTCCGAGCAAGCAAGGGCACCTTTAAACAAGCAGTAAAGGCGCTACACGGACACATACGCCCCATCCATAATCATGTCGAGTTGTTGGCATGTGAAATAAAACTTCAGCTGTAGATAATGCACAAATTGCCCATTCATATTGAATGCAGTGTCCCGGCAGATTTTGTATTTCCATCTTTTTACATGCTTTGGGCCTTTTCGACCCGCAGATCCCGAATCTGAGCTTTGGAACGGGTGAAAAGACCTTTTTCGGGGCGTTTTACCCAATTTCAAAAGGCAGCTCGAACGAGAATTTCTATGGAAATTTGGGAGTCCCTGGCACGAAGACCCTGCTGCCTGTACTTTTTGCTTTGGATAGCACGCACAATGCGGGAGAGCGGTTGTGGGTCCCGCGCCGAAAGGTAAGCAAAGCCGTCCGAGCGCGCGCCAGTTCAAGGGCTATTTTCTCGACCCAAAGGGAACATCAACCAGCCGCACTGCGCCTGGAGGTCAGTGGGATGACCAGGAACCCCAACATAGCAATATCCTCCAGAGCACGAATCTGCCGGGACACTGCCTTTAAGGGTGAAAAATTTTATCTGCTATAATGGCGGGGCCTCGTAAGTAAAATCGCTCCTCCCTGCAAAATGATTCCGAAGCGAGACACGCTCCAGAGTGTAAAAGCGGCCACGCTGGCTCGGCATCATTGTGGCCTAAAGATACATGTCCGAATGGGTCTCAGGATAAGCACACCGCCCCTGGACTTTTTCTTCAGACCACCCAGTTGGTAGTGGGGACCGTTGCTACCTTCTGGAGCGGTTTTCTCGCTTCCGAATTCATCTTTTGCTGCGAGACTAAAGCGATTGCTTACTTAGGATCTGCCAACATCTAACATGAGAATCCCATCACCTTGAGTTTGAATGAAGGGCCTTTTGTGGTGTACGAAGAATCATGTTCCAAGCAGAGAGTACGGTGAATTTGTCGGCTTCAGCACACCTCGTTGAAAAGTCTCGCAGACTAGAAATCTTACAGAATGGTGATGTGGCGAAATCGAAATCAAAAAACTGTTTTTTTCTCAATAAAAACCCTGAGCCAGACTGTCTCAAGCATAGCCTGTCGCCAGAAATAAGCGCATGAGTGAGTTCCGACAAAGGAACAATACACAGGGACACGGCACTGGACTTCCGAACGCACCGCTCGAACGTTCAAATATAGTTTGCTAAAGGCGAAATGTTAGTGAGCTAATCCATCGACAACTAAACAAAGGTAAAGTTTGCTGAAGCTTCGTGTACTAGAGTGCTTTGACGCTAACCACGAAAATGGTGCTTCTCATAGTATGGTGCCCTACGTAATATGCACGATAACGGATGAGAAGCTTAGAATTAGTAAGCTTCACAAAAAATTGCTGTTTCAATGCGACCGGACCATAATCAGTATTCACACCGAACCTTTGATAAAGTTAAATTGGTAACACGACACCGTGCATCAGTCCAACACCGTGAACCAAAAATAAGGCCTGGAATCCATTTGGTAATCAGCCCACTAAGAGAATACGCAAACCTTGAGATCTTGACAGTATAACTAACGTAATCTTACAACATTTGACGAATGATTGGCATGAGCACCCTGGATTTAGCCAGTGCTCAAAAGTAGAACATGACTGGGTTTTGAACAAAAAGCGAGCCATTCACACCTAACATCTTGACTGTCTACATCTTATGATTACTATCTACCTCAAGAAAAGATTTGAGCTTTGTTTTGGTTAAAGTTTTGCTGTGTCGGACACAAGCTATCTTCTGATATCTTCAAATCTTTATTGAAATAGCTCCTCTATGTAAAGAAAAGTATGTCAAGCCATTAACAGCTTCAAGCGTATAACTACGTGCTGATTTTATCTGTAATTGTTATAGTACTTTCATAATCATCAGCAATATAGAGCTTGAACTAATAAACGATATGAATTGTTCTGTGACCTGAAAACTAGTGTGTTCCTACAGTCTAAAAACGGCAGGCACAAAGGCTTTTACAAATAATCCCAGTGTTGATTCTGATAAATGCCACAGCAGGCATTTATCAGAATCAACACTGGGATTATCTGTAAAAGCACAGAACTTTGAATTTCCGCGTTTTAGACAGTTAGGCTCAAGAATATCGTTTGTGAGAACTGGCATACACGATCAAAAAACAGCATAGAACACTAAGAAAACTACGTAGTCAAGCATCAATCAATCCCAGTATAAGTAGCTTCACAAATGTACTTAAGGAAGAAAACGAAAACGAAAGCAAAACATCATACCTGGATTATCGTCGTGTTGAAGCGGATTGAGATCACTCATGATTGAAGATCGAAGAGAGACAGGATTGTGTACAAGGGTATCAATATAGGGACAGCAGACACGATTGCGTATTTCGAAGTCAACTATATATCACACTAAAGCATCTGAAAAACTATGTTGTGCACACACACGGACCGCATGTTAATCGCTGGAAAAAATCGATTGTAAAGTACAACTGTGGCTAGCAGCGAGGTAAGGAAGGAGCACGAGTCCCTATTCGATAGTGAATAGTCACCACACGGAAAATAATCGGAAGGAAGATGACATGCTTCTGCACAGCAGCGATTGAGAGTGTAAACAAAAGATGAGGAAACTTCTCACTTGGCTCAAGTGGAATCATACTGAAATGCTATGACGGTAACACTGTGATAAAATCCAAATTCAGCCAAGTAAACGAAAAAATAGCTCAACAGCGTAGCGGCCAAGGCGGAGCCCTGATTACCCATGAGGTCATCTGTCAGGTAGAGCCTAGAAAGGAGGAAGGAGGCGAAGAGCTGGGCATGAGAACGGAGCGCTGAAGGATTCGGCGCACTGGCCGATTCGCCGCGTATATATACTTTGAAAATCGTGGATTCGCAGGTGGCCGCGATACGGTGGCGCGACATGCGTCCGCTATAAAAGCGGCATCGATCGGGTGACGGACACTCCTGCGTGTAGCGACGGCGGCTTTTAGGTCAGCAGATTAGATCGTGGGCGATATGCAGTGACTCTTGCCGTGAAGCTGCTTGGTGACAGCGTGGCATGCTCCCGAATATGTGTTCAAATAGCAGTTTGATCTTCCTTTGACGGCTTGATGACGAAGAGTGGTGCTTGGTTCTAATTGCAGATGGTTATTGATCTGTTTTCAGTGGCAGCCAGATAATTCTGATAATTGTTAGCGGGTACAGTGGCGCTATCGAAAACGACGGCTTAGTCCTAAATCTCACATTTCGTTAGAGTTTTCGCAAGAGTTACTTGAAGCTGTTTATGAAAATGTATTCTATCTTTAAAATGCAAAACGCAACGTAAACTCAATGGGAAGATTTTTGCACACGCTTATTTGTACCCTACGGGTCGCTAGCAAGTGGCTCGGGGCAGATGCAATATTAGGTTTAGTTGCGACTGAGAATATCTTTACATAAACTTCCTACTCCTTTCTGAGAACATTTTGTTCAACAACAACACCCCCCCCCACCTCTTACGGACACTCATTCGTATAATAAAAAGACTTCACCCTACTACCCTCTCGAAAACTTTGCTTCATCCAGTTTCTGTCAACACATTTCATAGAGGATCGTTAGGAAATTATTACAATAGAATGCACGTCATTTTGGTAGCAGGGAGGACGTCCACAACATGTATACCATATAGCTTTCCTCTCGTATCAATCTCGACAGCAAAAGATCAGCTGCCTCTGTCAAAAAGTCCTCCAAGTTAGGATTTCGTCAAATTGAATATGGAATCTTACTATGAAAAGAGACCCCACCCCCAAAAACCATGACTACCGAGTACTCTTGCGCTATTTTGTCGCAATATTGGTGTGGTTTAGGCAAATGTAATCAAATAATGTTTTTTGAGCACAAAATTTTCGGCAATGTACACATGCTCTACATGCCGCTTAAATGCATCGTTAAGCCATGGAGTGAGTTAAAGTGTGCAATAGTAGACCCTCCAAATAACCTATCAATGAAGTTTGGAGCGAAAAACCACATCTGGAAGACCTAAAATCCATTCCAGAACTCTTCCGAACCCTCCCACTTACACGTAGTTCTAAGCAAACGCGGATTTGGAGAGCTTCTAAAAGAGCTCATTTTAGTCATTTTCATGCACTGAAAAAGCCCAGATATGGTTACAGCATGACGATAAGGCTCCGAAAAGATGGAAAAAATGAAAAGCGAAATTTTTCCGGAACACCGCCTTCAAAGAACAGATTATAAAGAAAATATCTTACTGCCCTCACTGAAAAAAAAGTCGAGCATTTACTCACGACGTATTTTCAAATTGTCTTAGGCGCCTAAGGACTGGAAATTATAAGAACTACCCCAAACGTACAAAAATCTGTTTCTTTGCCCAATCAAAATGCCCCCCCCCCCCGCCTGCCGCTTACAGAGCGATGTCTGTTTGGACGAAAGTGCCCTAGGTGCCCCTCAGTGAACGTATTCATAAGAAAAACTGCCTTTGACTCTCAAGAAAAGCCAGTGAAATTGAGTATACTCACAATATATTCTCAGATTACCTACCTGCCCCACCTAAGGTCAATTGTAAGAACTGCCCCAAAGTTACAAAATTCTGTTTCCCTGCCTAATAAAAATATCTCTGATTCAAATTATGTGTGATCGGCTTCCAAATTCATGTAAAGGCGGGTTGCGGACTCCCGCTGATCTTGATAATAAACTTGCCAAACCTCGACGTTATAGCAGTGTTTTTCGAACTCTCTCCTTATCAAAAACAGCAACGCTTTGAGTTAGCAAAACTCCGCCTCCACACGAATCTGGAAGCCCATGCCCCTATACAAACGCCAGAGTTTCGCGCAAAACATGAAATCCGAAGCGAGAATGCTTCAGAAGCAGAAGCGGCCACGATGACTTCTCCAATCAACGTGGGTGGTCTGAATATCCAGGTGCGAATTTGGGCTTCAAGGTAGACATAAATATCGCAAAATCGTTGATCATAAGAAGAAAGGGTTTATGAAAAATATACATTATAGCCCAAGTTTGGAGCTTTTCATCTACAGGCCACGGTGATGGGGTGGGGGGGGGGGGGGTCATGGCGACTTTTTGGAGCGGTTTTCTCGCTCCGTAAAACATCTTTTGCGGCTAAACTTGGGCGATTTTTTATATAGCATGAAAGTCTCATCATCCTCGATTTGGGTGGACGGTGCCTCTAATTTGAGTTTGAAATTTGGACGTGTTGGGCAGTGCTCGCCAAGGTTGGGGTCGCGCACTTGATATGGGCCCTCTCACTACTGTGTGCGGCATCATACTCTTTTTGCACAAATTCATTTGATTACTGTGCTGGTCGAAATCACTGAGTTGGCTAAAATTTGACCGAGGGTTTTCTGGCTGCTGGTCACAAATACCTTATTCTCTTCGCATGGTGGGACATGGAGTTATCTAAAGGTACGGTATAAAGTCGAAACCACGGATTTGTTAATAGTTGTCCAGGGGATTATCTGCTACGCTTCAAGAGTTCACGCGATTTGATCGTCGCGATTCATCGCTACAATACAAGTGTTACGAGTTCACTGCATGCCGATCTTTTCGTATTTCGGTTGCGATAATTAGTCACGATTAGTCGTGTTGGAAAACTATCACAATTATTGTTACAGTTGTCTTTCGCGTGAACTCTGCCCGAGGCCTAACATAAATATGATTATTTTCTAATGTAACGTCTCTTAAGCGTGCACCTGCTTGATAGATGTTGGTTATTGATGGGATGGGTCGAACCTGCAGATTTGTTCCTTTGCATACAGGATTCGAGCATGCTGATCAATATCGTGCTTGCTCACTGAATTAACGCCTTATTGTTGAGCTACGGTAATTTGCAGCATACCAACCTCCTTCTGCGTTTTTGCGAAGTGAGCGCGCTGTTCGTCTATGACCAGATTTTTCCCCTGTACACAATTTCGAGCCCTTCCACGACTTCGACTCCTTTGTATCTACCGTAGCTCTGCGAGGGTTTCAAAACCTAAAAAGAGTGTGGTGTTCTGATCAGCATGTCGAATAATCCCCACAGACCGAGTCTAAGCTAATTTACAACTTTATTTTGGGAGCCTGGACCACCTCCCCCTTCACCTGGAACGGAACAAAAAAATTTTTTTTGAGGTGGGAGAGTAGTGCACGAGAAATTATGAAATGTGGCAAGAAAATACATTTTTAGGAATGTTGCACCTAAAATGTTGTAGACAATTTCGACCGAAAAATTGGCAGTGGACATTGGCAGATACTCAAAAGCTTGAACGGCGATGATGATTTTGACTTGACCCTTAGATAATATCAATAGGGAAGAGACAATGTTTTGGCGATGAATGGGATATTGTTGGGAATAAATTCGTATGTCAGCGACTGAGATCATCAAAAGAACTATTTAGATGTGTTTCGCTTTCAAGCAGTGTACACATATAGGTCTAGCTTAGTGATAAGGTTAGCGTAATCTATTTTAGGAGAAACTCCTAAGGCAGGAAGTAGAAATTACGACATTGATGGCAATTTAAGCAAGATGAGATTTTCACTTGGTGCACTTGAATTACTTTCTCAGACAGTCGACGGCATACCTCCGGAGCAGAAATGGCCGAGCCGCGGGGTTTCCCCAGCTGGGGATTGCCACTCGTGCTCCGGAGCCCTCCCATATTGTGCTCCGGGGCCCTCCCATTTGTGCTCCGGAGACCTCCCATTTGTGCTCTGGAGACCTCCCATTTTGTGCTCCGGAGACCTCCCATTTTCTGCTCCGGGGCCCTCCCATTTGTGCTCCGGAGACCTCCCATTTGTGCTCCAGAGCTCTGCCATTTTCTGCTCCGGGGGTGTCCCAAATCTGGCATACCTCCGGAGCACAAATCTCTGCTCCGGGGCTCTCGCAAATCCGGCGTACCCCCGGAGCAGAGATTTGCGCGTCCCGGAGAAGGGTCCCACTCGCCTGCTTGTGACGTCACCGTGACCTACAAGAAGGGACCGCCCCCTCGCTCCGTTCTCAATGGTCAATTGGATCCGCCGCGGCTCTGCCAGATTTCGACTGTCCGCCGCGACTATGGCACCGATTGTCTGAGTTAGCAGATCCTTTTGCAGGAGTATAGGCATTACCAGCTAAGCTCTCCTCTATGAGATGCGAAAGAAGCAGATCCTAAAATAAATTCATCGTCGAGTTATGAGGCGATGATAACTTTGATTTGACACTTAGATAATATCAAAAGGGAAGAGACAATGTTTTGGCGATGAATGGGATTATTGTTACTGCAAAAGGATCAAAAACCACGATACTAAAATCGATTTTTACAGGTAACTTCTGTGTACGTGAATGAAATTTGGAAGAAAGGATACAGTTAAATTCTTTCATCAGAGCTCTTGATTGAATATAATATGTGGGGGTCCTATGTTCTTTCCCTGCGAGAGTGGGTGAGCCTACGCAGTTCAGCGTGCTCATCCTCTCGCGTCTATCC